GTGAGAGGAGAAAAAAAATAAAATAGCAAAAGGAAGTATTTAGTCACCCCGCCACGAGGGTATCATGTGGCACAAGGCCGGTTTAACGTGGGATCTCCGAGCCCGTGGGATCTCCGAGCCCGTGGGATCTCCGAGCCCGTGGGCTCGGCCAAAAATATCCCCTTTGAACCGTATAAACGGGGTTCAGGGTCGGTTTTACCTCCCCGAAAGAGACTTCGCCCTTCGGCGTAGACTCGTTCGGGTTCCTCCCCGCCCGAAGACAGAGTTCAACCGATCAGCCGATCGGCCGTCTTCAGACTGAACCAGTCAGCACTAGTATTTAGTCACCCCCCCACGAGGGTATCATGTGGTACAAGGCCGGTTTAACGTGGGATCTCCGAACCCGTGGCATCTCCGAGCCCGTGGGCTCGGCCAAAAATATGCCCTTTGAACCTTGACTAAATACTAGTGCTGACTGGTTCAGTCTGAAGTCGGACGACCGGCTGACCGGCTGATCGGTTGAACTCTCTGCCTTCGGGCGGGGTGCAACCCGAACGAGTCTACGCCGAAGGGCGGAGTCTCTTTCGGGGAGGTAAACCGACCCTGAACCCGTTTATACGGTTCAAAGGGCATATTTTTGGCCGAGCCCACGGGCTCGGAGATCCCACGTTAAACCGGCCTTGTGCCACATGATACCCTCGTGGTGGGTGGTGACTAAATACTAGTGCTGACTGGTTCACCCTGTTGTCCCGGTCTCACTCCTTATTTCATCTAAAGGCTCTGGAGGCATTTTTCTAATTATTTTTTTCCTCATCCCAATTTCCTTTTATTGTACATTTTTCTGTGTTAATTTTAAATTAAATCTCACGTTGAAGCCTGAAGAGCGGGAGCGAAACCGGTTGCTTCGCCCGTTTTTAATATGTCTCGTAATATTAAGTTTTATACTTTTATTTCGATCATATATATATATATATATATATATATATATCTGAGATGAGGTATTATGTACTCTATTTACATTATTCGGACTAATATCCTCATCTTTGTCGCCATATTTATTAAAACGTTTCGGCCGTTGTTACGCTCCAGCCTTCTTCAGGTAATAGGAATGTCGAACTGAACCCTTTATTTCGCTCACCGTTCTAGTTCCACGTGCCGTGTTTAAGGACACATGGCACAGTGGATAAACGCGTTGGTTAGATCCAGTGACAGGACCCAAAGAGTGTGAGTTCAATACCCGGTTAAAGCAGTGGAGAACTTGGGGATCTAACAGGAGATAACTGATAACTGACATCCATGGCACGTGGAACTAGAACAGTCTACCCCAGTGAGCGAAATAAAGGGTTCAGTTCGACATTCCAACCACCTGAAGAAGGCCGGAGCGTACAACGGCCGAAACGTTGTAATAAATATAGCGACGAAGATGAGGACAATAGTCCTAATAATGTAAAGAGTATATCTATATCTATATCTATATATATATATATATGTGTGTGTCTGTGTGTGTGTGTGTGTGTGTGTGTGTGTGGTATACTATTACATAACAAGTTCCAAAATTACCTCATATAGGGGATAGATCTATTTCAACCGACGATATATATATATATATATATATATATATATATATATGAAGAAAAATTTGGAAAAACAAGCAAAAAATCCTTAAATGCAATTATGTTGTTTAAAATGAATGAAATGTCGACGTCTGACGTTTCGGTTTAATAAACCTTTTCAAGACAATATTCATTAAAATACAATTCAGTTCAATTTGACAAAGACGATGGACATAAACAACAAGTCTTATCCAAAACAGATAACTGAAAATTTTAAAATGATCAGCTTTCCGTTTAGCATGGTCACGTTGTCGTCACATGGGCGACGCTTTCAAAAACGTATTCTAAAAATTTTTGATTATTTTGAATGAAAAAAAGAAAATGAAAAGAATTCTATTAGGATCTAAAATTTTTATGTGTATTTTTGTTTTTTTTTTCAAATTTTTCTTCATTCTGTCGGATCTATATCCATTTACATTTGCTTACATATATATATATATATATATATATATATATATATATATATATATATATATCGTTTTTACTTATCATCATTTGATAAAGGACTAAGTACTATTTTCCGATTGTCTATTTTATTCAATTTGTTTTCTCTATAGATTTATTCTCAGAATGTTAACATACACACACACATATATATATATATATATATATATATATATATATATATATATATATATATATATATATATAATATTTTCTGATTATACGTTATTTGTACAGATACAATTTATTAAAGTAAATGCTCTGTTTTTTTTTTTTTCAATCAAACAGTATTAATTACATTTACCGGCCTGTATGTTCGAGAGGTTTTGCAGAAAATATGCGATTCTCCGACAGAAATCGAAACTGCATTCCTCTCGAGAAACCGTCATTTGATCTGACGTGCTATACCATTTAGCTACAGGAAGTGTCTGGTTAGTAATTTTCAAATTCTGTTTTTCTTTTTTTTTTCAACTCACAGTCTTTGATGATTTTTCTCGACCCATCAAATCTGATCACGAAACGTATCTTAACGTATAGATTAAGTCCGACAATCATTTAATATGTTTTCTGTTTCTACGTTATTTTTTTATAGATATACAGTGTAACCCGGATATAAGAGAAACCAGGGTATAGGTGAGATTTTCTCTGGTCTCAAATTAGAGCCTGTGTTAATGTATATAAAATAGACCAAACCCGGATATAAGAGAAACCCGGATATAAGAGACTTCTTCTCCGGTCCCGACAACTCTCTTATATCCGGGTTACACTGTATATATATATATAAGTAAATCCTCTATTACATTTAGCGGCCTGAAGATCCGAAAATATTTGTAGAAAATATGCGATTCTCCGACAGGAATCGAACCCGCATTCTTATACGGAAACTGTCATTTGATCTGACGTGCTATACCATTCAGCTATATAGTAATATAAGTATAATATATATTGGACAGTTGATTGAGAAGCATGTAGCCGTGCGTTGTCGTCCAGCAAAATTGGGCCATCCCTATTCACAAGTCTAGGATGTTTTCTTTTCAATTTTACATGCGCACACTTAATTTCTCCACAGTGTGAGATTGCTATTATTTTTTTATTCTCTTGAAGCAAGAATGAATAATGAATAACCTCTTTGAAATACCACCATACAGTAACCATTAACTTTGTAGGGTGCAATGGAGGTTCTGTTTATTGTTTCAGTGATTCACTTGCAACTAACCACTGACCTATTCTCTTACTGTTGTTAAAGAGTATCCATTTCTCATCGCATGTAATGATTCAATACAAAAATGGTTCTTTTTCCCAGTCTAAGCTCATACAGTAAGATTACTCGGATAAGTATCAGTGTAATCATTTTCGTTGGTCTTATGAGTAACAATACAGCAATCCCTCGATTGGTGTGCTAATGTGTACATCGCTAATTATAAAAAAAATCAATTTTCAGTAACTATGGTTAAACTGAAAAATGATTTGCCGTACTAATCGAGTAATATATATGCACGGTGGAGTAAAGGATAGCGGCTCGGATTGAGAAATCGGAGAGCAGAGTTCGAATTCTAGTCGAATCCATTACATTCACTTACGTGCTAATACCCTTCTGAAGGTATGAATCCTCTTTGAAAGGCTATAGGTAAATGGCAGGATAGACCGGGTTCTATAGCTTTGGATGGCAACTTGTCTACCTCAGAAAGAAATGTCAACCTACTGCAGGAAAAAAAAAATCTGCCTTGTCAGTCAAGTATCGAAAGATACAAGATCGCTTAAGCATGTATAACCCATGACACATAACTGACTGACTGACCCTT